TCTTGCCTATACTGTGGTTTTTTTTAGTCTACTTTTATCCTATTTCTATGGAAGTTGTTACAAGACCAGTAAAAACCCTGCATTCCTATTAAAACACAGTTTCTCTAACTGGGAAGATCCCCCTTTGCTAAAGGAGTAGTTTTGAGCAAGTAGCAAATGGGGTTTGATTAATTTGATCTTGATTACACCTAAAAGACTTATTTTTGGCCAGAGTTCTATTTTGAAGCAAAATAAGTGGAAATTCAGTCAGAACAAAACACTCTGTATTTTTCTAAACACAAATCTTTTGGCAAGCCCAACAATGGAGAAAAGCCACTTTGATTTGTTGTTTTACAGCAAAGAGTTTCATTACAGACCACTTGTAGTCAAAAATGTCTTTCCATTTTCCTCAAAAATTATTCTCAATGTTTCTTGAATGCAAAATTCAATTCATTTCAAATTAAACAGAAAGTTTTTTGGCCCAAGAATATCATTTCTTGTTTTCTAATTCAGAAATACTGAATTAGTTTTCTAATTCTAATTAGTTTTCTAATTCTAATACAGAAAAGCTGCAGCTGTGCTGCTGTTCATTCTCCTGCAAACTGAACCGACACCGTTTCTGTCCCCAAATCCAAAGCCACAGGCTAAATAGCAAAGTCTAACAAACACTTTTGCATGGATTTGAAGCTCAGCTTTAAACGTTACTTGTTGCTCTAGGTTATATGCATGTTTGTAAATGTGAACTTAATGAGGGCTGGGAAAGAGGACAAATACTGGCATTCCCATTTAATGTATCACTGATTTGAGGAAGCTTAGAACCATAGAACAGTTAGGATTGGAAAGGACTTTACAATCATCTCGGATGAGCTGTGACCTTCTGTTTCACAGCAAGCTGCAAGTCCCAGCCTTCACTGGGCTGGCAACCTGAGCCAGGAATTCCCTCTGATTTCCTACTCCAACCACTTGATTCCTCCTGCTTCCTTTAGTATTACGTTTAACGATCCCTGACATGCTTTTGGCAACCTCCTCAGAGATAATCAGGTTGTAGCGCTTGAGACCAGCTCTGCTCAGATAAAGCAAGACTGAGTGATAAAAACCAGCGATGTATTTGCAGATCAGAGGCAGAGCAGCGGGGAGCACGTTGTGTTTGGGACTTTTGATCAGGAGAGAACGCGCGTTCCTCCTTAGTGCTGTAATACAACAGGCACAAGATTCTTCTCTATCAATTGTCAGGCCGGGGTTAGAGCTGGAGCCTTCAGCCCTGTCTGCAAAGCTCAGCCCCTTCCCTGGTGGATTGGTCACGGCTCCTATTTTCTGCTCTCACAGATATTTCTTAGTGCAAATCGTGCCAAATACCTTCTGTCCTAATAGACCTCAACTCTCTTGCAGCTGCCCTTCAAATCTCAGCCTTCCCAAGGGTTAAACCTGAAAGTTTCACTAGAGAACAGGAAACTTAGAGGGAGGGAAGAGTGGAGGGGGGGGAAGAAAAGAGAACTAAAAAGAAACTAGCAACAACAATATGAACACAAAAACCAAAACCACCCAGTTGCTGGCTCTCAAAGATCTGCACTCCAACTCTATTGATTTCATTACACCTCTGCTGCCTGACCCATTAAGCATGGCTCACTGGTAAGGTGTAGGATACCCAAGTTGCACTTTGTTACCTCCTTAGACATCTCTTGTGCCTGGAGACGTTCAACACCTCCCCAGCTTTGAAACTTCCTTATCTTAGTCACAAATTCACAAAAAGCTCAAAGGGAAAGGAATTTCTGCATCACTCTGCTTGAAAGCACATCTTCCAGTCTGTGTCTTGACCCAATGGGGTTGATGCCGGCTGGTATTTACCCAACCTTGACCATCAAAGCTTGGCTGTCCCCAGGCCACATCTGTAGATAGCATGAAGGGACTGACACCTCAGATGATCTTTCTGCCCACCTAAAAAAGGCAACTGGTTTGAAATGGTGGCCCCTTGGGCTGCTGCTGACCCTTCACTGACTATGGATGGTCTCACAGCCCTCAGCGATGGGATCCAGACGTGTTCTCAGAGTTTGGCAATCAAAATACATGTAACAACAGGGTTGCATGCCACAGCCTTTCCTTATGGAGCAGAGTCCCAGTGAAGGTCCTTTTCAGGGAAATACAGGGACTGATTTGTCCAGATGCTTTTTCAGAGATATTTTCTTCCACAAAGAACTGGCTCCATTTCTGTGCCTGAATCTTACCCATGTGCTCTGGGGTGTTATTGTCCCTTTACCAAGACACCATGCAAGAAGGCTGGACTCTCTCTGCCCTCGCTACAAGCACAAGGCAGGCGGTTATCAGCACACACCGCTGCACAGAGAAGCTACAGACCACCTTGCCTCTTCACCACCAGGCTCTGACCAAGACTATGGTGATACCCTGATTCCATACATGCGACTTCACGTTATGTGTTAGGCCAAAAAACTTCACCCTTTATCGCTGACAAGACATCCATAAATCCCAAACAAATGTCTATAAGCCTCAAGCTCCACCAAAATGCAGTTTAATGGGGAGAAAAAAGGAGGGGTATGGACAAAACCCAACTGTAGACAAACCCACTGACATTCCCATTAGTGTCAGGCACAACAGCACCCTGCACAGGTTACTCTTGGGTTTGGTACAGACTTGAATAGGGCAGATAATACAGAAGATGCTGCAGATCAGAAGGGAGGCACCAAGGCAGAAGGAAAACCTGAGAAGCACAAGTCTAGCCTAAACGAAGTCCTGCCTTTTCATTCAGGGCTGACATGAAACCAAATGCAATTGTGGTGTCCTGGGTGTTCTAAGGGCTGTAAATCAGAGCCTGCTCAGTGCTGTGGTGAAAACTTCACTGGAGAAAACTCTTCCACATGCAAAAGCACTTTGGAAACACCCACCTCAAGTAGGTCCCATCTTCCAGGGGCAGAAATGGTCTCTTTGTCTATTTTCTTCCCAAGCATCTCTGTATCCTTTCCAATACACCATGTCTTTTCCTGGAAGATGATTAGGTCAGGGGTGTTCCATATAGTGGGTAATTCAGCCTCATGGGTCAATGCACAGATTTTTATCTCAAGTCTGAGTTCCCATCAGCCTGGCAGCTTAAGCTCTGACTACTCATAATGGATGTGCCTTTGCTGGTGTTTCTGCTTGATCCTGCTTTTTACCCAAAGTGAATTGTAGCTATTAGTGAAAAAAACAGAGTGAATTTGTCCTGTGGGGATGACTCCGTCCTTTCTGGGGCTGGGTACCTTAATAAAAGGTGCTGGCTAACTGCAGCCTATTGCTTTTGGTTGGAAATATTACCACTGGTAATACCTAAATTGCTACTAACTTCAAAGAACTTGAAGACCTCCTGTAATTCACGTTTACCACTGCATCTCCCAGGCAATACCAGTGGTGGTTCAGTTTTATTCCTCAGACAGCAGAGAATAAAGAGAACTTTGTGGAAACTGCTCATCATAGCCCAGGATCAGACACTGTGCAGTATTTTTTCCAGGCAGATCTCAGCTATTTCCTTGTTGTCCCCTCTCATTGGAAAGTCTCTCTTTTTCTTCCAATATTTTGGAGCTTCCATTGCTAATCTCACCCAAACCCAAGCAACAGCAAAGCTTTTGGAGCCTGGGGCTGAGGTCTGCTGTGACTTTGGATGGAGGTGACTAGGGCTTGTCACTTAACCTGCTTTAAGTGTGACACCTGCTGTAATCCACCCTGGAACACTCCTGAAGAGACACAGGAGAAATACTTCAGCTGTATTTCCCTCAGACCACAATACATTCCATATGCTCCAACTGTGGAGGAGAAAGGAGCTGGTACGTTGAGTTACCTCTGGTCAATCCATCATTCCCAGCTGGGGGGGGACACAGAGGGAGCTTATCAGTGTTCTCTCTGACTTTCCAGCTGGAAGAAATTTACAGCCAAATGCACACTCCTGTTGCAAAGGGGGGATAAGCCCTCCCCAAACGTGCTTACAAGCCACTGTTGTTATCAGAGGATCAGGGGGCTTTGGATCACCTTTATTGCTGGCCACCAAGGGCTTTTTTGGAGCCTGCTCTTCATGGAAGCCATTAAGAGAACTTCTCCAGCAAGGGGCTATGGTGCTGCTCTTTGAGGAGCAACATCCTCAGCCATCCTCTTGGAAAGCACATTGACAAGATCTAGGTTATCTGTGAGCACACATCTTTCTGCAGACTGCTGACAAGGCAGTTTTAATCCCTCCTCTCCAAAGCCCCCTCTTTGGGAAGTCCATAACCAAAGATCTTTTGCCTGTACATTGCAAACCCACTTTCTGCTAGGGTGTTTTCAGATCCCACAGCCTCATCCCATTGCAGGAGCCATGCAGGAGGTCAGGTGCATCACTACGGCATCCTCTTTGCATGTGCTAAACACTAAATATGGCTGGTACCCAAATGTTTACCTGATCTGTAGCTTCATTGGGCTCTTACTATTGAGCAGGGAGCATTTTATACCTAAAATAGGAGGAGGGACACGAGGATGATCAGGGGCTGGAGCGCCTCCTGTATGAAGACAGGCTGAGAAAGTTGGGGCTGTTCAGCCTGGAGAAGAGAAGCTGCGTGGAGACCTCAGAGCAGCTTCCAGTGTCTGAAGGAGGCCTATAGGGATGCTGGGGAGGGACTCTTCATTAGGGACTGCAGTGACAGGACAAGGGGTAATGGGTTCAAACTGAAACAGGGGAAGTTTAGATTGGATATAAGGAAGAAATTCTTTACTGTAAGGGTGCTGAGGCACTGGAATGGGTTGCCCAGGGAGGCTGTGAATGCTCTATCCCTAGTGGTATTCAAGGCCAGGTTAGACAGAGCCTTGGGTGAGATGGTTTAGTGTGAGGTGTCCCTGCCCATGGCAGTGGGGTTGGAACTGGATGATCTTAAGGTCCTTTCCAACCCTAACTATTCTATGATTCTATGAAATTCATCTTCTGCTTTTGATAGGCTGGCAGCCATCAAATATCCAGCTACAATTTTAGATCCTGAGATGCTGACAGGAATTTTTATTAAACAAAAGGCAATTTTATAGGCCTTTTATTACTTACCTTTCAGCAGCTTTGCTTCTGCTTCAGCTTTGAAAAGCCATCACTGAGCTCTTGCAGTCCCACCTCTTCCCACAGAGAGGGTGAACTCAGTGGTGGAGGGTCCTCAAGAGCTGTTGGGAAATGGGGACCTACGGAGAGCAGCAAGACAATTAATTGTTATTAAAGCAGTTGACTTAATTATAATCACTTTCATAATCAAGTTAATTATAGTGATAGTATAAGTACTACATAATAATATAATAATCAGGTTAAACAAGGAAGTTCTTTACTGCGAGGGTGGTGAAGCATTGGAACAGGTTGCCCAGAGAAGTGGTAAATGCTCTATCCCTGGCAGTGTTCAAGGCCAGGTTGGATGGGGCTTGGGTGGCCCTGCCCATGGCAGGGGGTTGGAACTGAATGATCTTAAGGTCCTTTCCAACCCAAACCATTCTATGATTCTATAATTACCTTAACATTGATTGTTCATATCTAATTGATGACTATCTAAATAGTTACCTAAACTACAGACAGACTGGACTATGTTTAAGATGTCTGTGCCTTTATAACTGCTTTTTGCTTCTAAATATAGGACTCTACTAAAACTAAAGAAGAAAAGGGGAAGATTTCATATGTGCTGGTTTTCCTTCAGAACAATTTTTTCTGCATATAATTTTTTCCAGCTCCACAAAAATACCTCACTGCCGATGAGTGTCTGTAGAATAACAAACCGCATCTATACCTGTGCGTGCACATAGCCCATAATTCCCCCCATAAAACCTGGCCACCATTAAACCAATGTTTGCAACCCAGGCTTTGTGAAAGCCAAATATGAAAATAAAGTGTTCATCGTAGAAAGAAAGAAAGTCCGTGAGGAAGCAGATGTAAAACTCAGGCTTTCAATTCACTCTAGCAAATAACCAGTGAAAGAATAATGACTTGAAGGACGCCTGGCCAAACTCCACACTGGCACAACTCCATCAAAGCCGGTGTAGACAGGCCAGCAGCGGATGTTTCCCACTTCGTCAGTTGAACGTGAAGAGTTTATTTTCCAAGTCACCCCTCCTCTTACTCAAATTCCCTGTCATTGATCGACGGGTGTCCCAAAGATGCTGAGTGGAGAAATCTGTTGCGTGCAGAACTGGTACTTTGCTAGAGAAGAACAGAAGGTCTCCAGTCTGAAAATGGCAAAGGGATTTCTTCAAGTGGCTGCCAAAAAAAGAAGATAAAAGGAAAATTAGAAGCTAGAGGCTGCATTTTCTGAGGACACTGCCAGGCTTTTCAAAGGATAATCCCAGCAGATACAACATTACACGACAAAAGTCCCATTGTGGAAACACTGCCAAGTCTTTAAGCATTGGCATTTAATCTCTTGGCAACAACATGAGTCCAACTGTGCTTTTATTTCTGGGTTTTTTTACAGTCACTAACAGCATATTTGCACACATGATAGCAGCAACATGTGGTCTGAAGAAGGTTAATTTGCTCTGCAATTAATAGTGGCATGCAAATCCACACACAGCTAATGCGGGCTGAACCAACAGACTGAAAGTCATTGATGTTAGAGCTGAAACATGGAGAGAAGGGGAGTATGTGCCAAGCACCTGACTGTTTCAAGCTGATTTTCTTTCCAGAGCAGCTGATAAAGGCAACAACAGGTTAAACCCAGCTCTATTAAGGCAAAACTCCTCCTAGGTTTTTTACAGATGAAATCTTGTGCGATTTGAAAAGAAGTTCTAAGGAGCTGGTACCAAAAAAAAGGACTCGAGGCAGGATTTTCCCAGCCAGCGGAAAATGAAGCCAGGATCCTCACACAGCACCAGGCAGCAAGAGCAAGGATGCACTGGTGGGATGCGAGATGTAATGAGAGCCTGAGTGGGAAGAAGCCAAGATGGAATGGCTGAAAATGCTGACGGTGCACTCAGAGTTGAGTAAGGAAAGAAACTCCCTTGCTATTATTATATCTAAACCAGTCAAAGTTTGTTAATATACCTATAGAGATAACATTATTGTGGTGCTGTAACTATATTGCGGTGCTATAACAATAGAGTGACTACGTATACACATAGTCTCTTTTATCTGCGATATATATACACCAAAGAACCAATATCAAGCCTAACTGTGGCTCATTCTCAGCACCCATCACTGCTGATCCTCTGCTCCCTCCCACTACCTGTCCTACTGTGTCCTGGCTGCTCATCACTGAGCCCCAACCCTCCCATCCAGACAGGAGCCGGTTGTGTGGGATTGGTCACTTGCCATTTTATTTTGCTGCGAGTCCTTTTATGAGCAGGCAGGGCTGGATATAGAGAGCTGGGCTTTGAAAACGGGCCCCCCGTGGAGGGGAAGGAGGGAATAAAGCCCTACCCCTCCACGCATCGCACAGGGCTTTTGCCTCGCAGTAAAGCAGCAGGAGTTGGGGAGGAAGGGAGCATAAGGTCACCGGGTTTTGAAGAGGAAGGCTCTACTCACAGGGGGAGGGGGGACACTGCTGCTCTGCCTGGTGATAGGATTTCCTGGGTCTTTTATAATGATGTGGTTGCTCGGGGTTATTTGGCTTTAATGAAGCGGTTCATGTCCGGTTTGCTAATCGCGTTGGAGAGGTGCGGAGCTGCCCCTGGCTCACTTCTCTTCAGCAGAAGATGGGTGTTTTCCATCTTGGCTAAAGGGAAATGAATTGGGTGAGACGATTTAGATGACACAAACACTCACTAGGGGAGGTATGCCAAGTAGTCCTCAGCGAGCCATGGATGCCCACAAAGGCAAAACACACAATTCACCTGACATAGCTGAAATCACTTGTCTTTAGCCTACCAGGACAGAGGCAGGCTGATCCTGGGAAAGGACCTGTGTCCCTCAGGACAACAGACATTTTGGGGTTTTCTCAGGCCCCAGTTTCTTGAGTCATGGAGTTACAGGGAAACTCAGCTTTAATTAAAAGAGAAATAGAAGAAATGGGGGAATGGTTCCCAGAGTGATTGTTTGGGAGGCTGGAACAGTGTGAACCTTTAAAGCATCATCAGGTAAGTTCCCCTACTACTGCTATTTTCATTATTATTGCTAATGGCAGTGTGCACTTGCAGCCCAGAAAGCCAACCATACCCTGGGCTGCATCAAAAGGAGCATGACCAGCAGGTCAAAGGAGGTGACCCTGCCCCTCTACTCTGCTCTCGTGAGACCTCACCTGGAGTACTGTGTGCAGTTCTGGTGTCCTCAACATAAAAAGGACATGGAACTGTTGGAACAAGTCCAGAGGAGGCCACGAGCATGATCAGGGACTGGAGCACCTCCTGTATGAAGACAGGCTGAGAAAGTTGGGGCTGGTCAGCCTGGAGAAGAGAAGGCTGCGTGGAGACCTCATAGCAGCCTTCCAGTATCTGAAGGGGGCCTATAGGGATGCTGAGGAGGGACTCTTCATTAGGACTGTAGTGATAGGACAAGGGGTAACGGGTTCAAACTGAAACAGGGGAAGTTTAGATTGGATATAAGGAAGAAATTCTTTCCTGTCAGGGTGGTGAGGCACTGGAATGGGTTGCCCAGGGAGGTTGTGAATGCTCCATCCCTAGTGGTATTCAAGGCCAGGTTGGACAGAGCCTTGGGTGAGATGGTTTAGTGTGAGGTGTCCATGCCCATGGCAGTGGGGTTGGAACTGGATGATCTTAAGGTCCTTTCCAACCCTAACTATTCTATGATTCTATGAAATTCATCTTCTGCTTTTGATAGGCTGGCAGCCATCAAACATCCAGCTACAATTTTAGTTCCTGAGATGCTGACAGAAATTTTTATTAAACAAAAGGCAATTTTATAGGCCTTTTATTACTTACCTTTCAGCAGCTTTGCTTCTGCTTCAGGTTTGAAAAGCCATCACTGAGCTCTTGCAGTCCCACCTCTTCCCACAGAGAGGGTGAACTCAGTGGTGGAGGGTCCTCAAGAGCTGTTGGGAAATGGGGTGAGGCACTGGAATGGGTTTCCCAGGGAGGTTGCGAATGCTCCATCCCTGACAGTGTTCGAGGCCAGGTTGGACGAAGCCTTGGGTGAGATGGTTTAGTGTGAGGTGTCCCTGCGCATGGCAGGGGGGTTGGAACTAGATGATCTTACCAACCCTAGATGGTCCTTTCCAACCCTAACTATTCTATGATTCTATGACACCCAGAATGTTTTCAGGTCCTTTCATGATACATCCCGAGTTATAAACTTTGAATGCTCAAATTCATACTCTAGCATTGGGTACCTGGTTCAGCTGCAATGGGAGGTCACGCTGCCACAGAGGGCTGGGCAAGACCTTCGTGGGAAGCAAATATAACTCTGGATGGGCAGGAGCTCAGGGCCACTAAGAAAAGCTACCAGAAACCCAGGAATGAGCCTTAGTGGAGGTTTCCACCATCCATACCTACCAGGAGGGAAGTGAAGCAGAATGATTTCCCCAAGCGATGGTTTCATCACTTAAGAGGATTCCCTGTGTAGCAGCTAATCCAGGCCACGCTACGCAGCATTGAAAGGGTCAGCAAAGACCAGCACCAGAGCACCCAAGGGGAGCACATTCATGTGCATGGCTGCAAACAGGAGTCTCCTGCAGAGATGGCCCCTCTGCCATGCTCTTGCCTATCTCCAAAATGAAATGGATTAGCAGCTCACTTTCAATCAGGCTGAATTATGAGTGCAGCGATTTGCTGGACGTTTTACATGAACCAGAAGATGTGTTATCTGATGAAAATTGCTTAATTTAATATCCTGGCTTGACAAGCAGTGAACTGTACATCTCCTGGAGAATTTACCAGTGCAGATGATTTTACTTAGCTGAAAGGATTAAGTAATCGGACCCCTTTTCTTCCCCCCAAAACTCACAGCAGAAAAGCACCCAGAGAAACTCTGAGGAGCTGGTGGTACCAAGGTTACCAGCACCCTCAGGAAAAACAAAAGGTTGAGGGTTTCCAATCAAAAAACATTGCAGAATTACATGGTTTTTGCCTCTGCCACCCCCAAAAAAAATCAGTTATTGGGAAGGAAAGGTCAAAGTGCCAAGAAGCAGATCAGATCTAGCTCTCAGAGTTGCCTTGAGGACACAGGACACGTCTCTCTACCATATGAAGGCCAAGCTTCAGAGCAGGTTGCTCTAATAGGTGGGAAGCCCTCTTGGAAGCCACCTACAGGTTGAGGAACCAGTGGCAGGACTCAGTCTCTCATGTTCAGGGTACCTCATCTTGAATGAGCATGGGCTGATCCCAGCCTCTCTGGGCTCTCTCCTTCCAGCAAACAGTTGTTAGTCCAGCTTTGCACAGAGTCAAATGGGTGGTGGGTGAGGTTGGGCTTCAAAGCAGGTACAAGCTCTCCCTTACCTTACAGTAACAACCTCGCAGAGCAGAGTTCTCCAGCAGAGCCAAGTTTTCCTCTGTGGCCCATGAGTAAGAAGCCCAAGGCTATGCTTGTTTTCACAAGGAAACTCTTCCAGGCTGAGCCATAAACCAGGAACCAGGTTTGAAACAACAGCAGTGCAGAGCAGAATTGCTCCTCAAGCCTTTGCAGATTCCTGGGGAAGCAAAAGTCACAGAGAAAGCATCAACTCCCCTGATGTTTCTCCTTAAACCACAGTCTGTAAAGATGGATAAACCTTTCCTACTAACTGCACTGGGGAAAAGAAAACAGATGGACAGCTCTGTGTAAACCAGACCCTGCCAAAGCACATGCCATCAGGCAGCTGGGAGCTGTGGGATCCTGAATTACCAATCTCTCTTGAAGATCTTGCCATAATCTAGTCATATGTATTCCTCACACTTTGGTAGGAGGCTCTTATTGCTCTAGACATAATACACGGATGTAATTATGCAGACTTTATCCATGCTGGCAATCTTATCCAAATTCAAAGCTTTTATTACAAGTGAAGGCTATTATGATTTACGGTTATGTTTTTAAACAGCACATAATTAAGTGGTATCACTTATTGTCATAGGACGTTGTAGAAGCCAAAAGCATAAATGGGTTCAAATAGCAATTAAAGACACTGAAAGCTCCATCAAGGACGATTGCACACAAGGATGCAGATATGATCCATAGCTCAGGAAGTCCTTCAGCTGCAAATTGCCATGAGTTGGAAGGACCACAGGAAGTAACACCAAGAGGCTTGCCATGGTCTTATATCTTGCCCTAAGCATTTGCTGCTGGCACCACAAGAGACAGGATATGGGGCTAGATGCATATTTGATCTAAGCCAGCACATCCATTCTCATATCTACATAGCAAGACCTCTCTATAACAGATCTACTCTTTCCAAAAGGCACCAGGCCAGACAAGCCTAAATTGTGGTTAAGGCCCACAAAATACAGACCTAAAAGCTGTATCTTCTCCTGTATCTAGAGCATTGAGCCAGAACCTCAGGGTAGGAGATTGGCACATCTTCCAAGCTTCAGTCTCCAGAAGTCCTTCAAAAGGGAGTTTTCATTAATGGAATTTTCTATGAATGAGATTAAAACCTTGAAAAACAAATGTCGTTTTCTGGTCGCCCGAGTTGGCAATGCTTTAAATTAAATAAATAGCATGGAGAACATCAACATCAGCCCAGTTCATAGAACATGCAACTGAGTTTTCCACACTTGTGGTGATGGCAAGAGTCAGCATAGCCAAAGCGCAAGAGATGAGCTTCAGCCTGAGAAAACAACCTTCCCAGGTGAGCTGTGTCCTCTCTGCTTTTGCAGGATCCATGAAGCAGTTCCCCTTCAAGGGGAAACTCAATGGAGCTTTGGTCTTACCTTGTGGTTATGTTTTTACCTTGTCCCAAGCAAACCCAGTGTCGGAAGATGTCAACTTGACAGAGCTGCTCATCGACTTAGTATTACACTAGGGGAAAACCTCTTTCATTTCAATCCAAGTACTTTAAGAATGATCCAGCCAAGCCCTTTGCTGCTCTAAATCGATGCAGCCAGGAATAAATCAAGGGAACAAAGCTTTTTGATACCCATTGAAGAGCTGCTTCTAGAATAACCTATTTCAAAACATGTCCACTGTTAGTGACACTTTGATGTTCATTAAACAGGGCAAAACTTCAGACCTGCTTTCCCTTGATCAGTGACCTACAAGGAAGCTCCCAGAGCACGGCATAAATTGGGGTTGTTTTTGCAGGAGCATGGGATGCCAGATAGGTGCTGGAGTCTAATCCCCTTCTATCACAGGGGATCTAAAGCATGATTACAGACAGTAAAGAGTCACTGCAAAGGATGATAAAGATAAAGGTCTAACCATTGCTCTGAAAGTGAAGCAGCAGCTCATAATACTTATATTAGATCAAAGAGGTTCATGTCTGAAGAGATCAAACCTTCACAGGGCAACAAGCACCATTTAAAATGGATCCACATTCCCACAAAAGCAATATAAGCATGCAGCAGCCAGAAACCTGCTGGGACCAACCTTGGTATAGCATCTAGTTGGGGCTGGGTGGCAGGGGTTGGACATCTAACTCACGTTAAGGTCATGCATTTAGGCAGAGCCGACAGCTATCTTTGTCCTGGAGGAGCAAGCTTTTGATTCACACTCAACAGTGGTTTAAAAACAAGTAAAAGAAAATAAACTCAAATGTACCTGAGCAACCTGGAACTTCATCTTCTTCAAACAAACAGCTGGAAAACGGGGCCGATTACTCAACACTCACCTTTGGCTTAACGTTAGCACTGG